CACATTGCCCAGGCTGGTCTCAAACTCCTGACCTTAGGTGATCCACCTGCCTCCAACTCCCAAAGTGCTGGGATTATAGGCATGAGACTGCATGAGACTGGGATTATAGGCATGAGACTGCACCTGGCCAAGTTTTACTTTTTAAATTTGTTGTTTGCACCCAAAAGGTATTTCCCTATTTATACTTTTATTCATTTACCATTTAGCATGAACTAACCTTGGGTTGATATTTACTTTTTAATGTAGAAATCCCCTCAAACTCTACATAAATTCACATATTAACTTAGAAAACTTAGAAACTTAGAAAAACATTGAAATTAAATTTATACCACTGATTTTTATATGATTAATAAGACAATCATAGGCTGTGACAGCTATGTTTTTTGCCCATTTTTAAAATATACATTTCTTAATTGAAATCAAACAAAGGTTTCAAATGGTATTCTTCAGAAATTTTTACACAGGGTTTTCAAATTTTTGGTCTGATGATTTGCTTAGTAAATATTTCTAAAAATGAAGATACTTGGGTAAATATACAAGGACTGTATATATCCTACATCAATATTACGGCTTTCTTTTCCTTTTTTTTTTTTTGAGACAGGTTCTCATTCTGTCACCTAGGCCTGATTGCAGTGGCATGATCATGGCTTACTGACCTGGCTTACTGGCCAGCCTTGACCTCCCTGGCTCAAAGTAATCCTTCCACCTTAGCCTCCTCAGTAGCTGGGACCAGAGTTGCATGCCTCCACATCTAGCTAATTTTTGTATTTTTTGAAGAGGTGGGGTTTCACCATGTTGCTTAGACTACTCTCAATTCCTGGGCTCAAGTGATCCACCTGCCTCTGTCTCCCAAAGTGCTGGGATTACATGTGTGAGCCACTGTGCCTGGGTATTTTTGGGTAATTTTTAAGTTAGAAATGTTTTCTCAAAAGACAATGTGTTGACATCTTTTAGCACGGCTACTATTAAAAAAAAAGGAAGTGTTGAGAAGCATGTGGAGAAATTTGAATACCTGAGTATCACTGGTCATAATGTAAAATGGTACACCTGCTATAGAAAACAATATGGTTGCTGAGTGCAGTGGCTCATGCCTATAATCCCAGCACTTTGGGGAACTGAGGCAGATGGATCACTTGAGCTCAGGAGTTTGAGACAAGCCTGGGCAACATGGTAAAACTCTGCCTCTACATAAAAAGGCAATCACAGGCTGTGAAAAAATTAGCTGGGTGTGGTGGCGTGCACCTGTAGTCCCACTTACTTGGCAGGCTATTAGGAGGCTGAGGTGGGAGGATTGCTTGAGCCCAGGAGGCAAATGTTGCAGTGAGGTGAGATCGCTCCACGGCACTTTAGCCAGGGCAATAGAATGAGACCCTGTCTCAAAAAAAAGAAAAAAAAAAAGGTTCTGGTGTAGTGGCTTATGCCTGTAATCCCAGCACTTTGGGAGGGCAAGTCAGGTGGATCATGAGGTCAGGAGTTAAAGACCAGTCTGGCCAACATGGTGAAACCATGTCTCTACTAAAAATACAAAAAATTAGTCAAGTATGGCGGTGGGCGCCTGTAATCCCAGCTACTCAGGAGGCTGAGGCAGGAAAATTGCTTGAACCCAGGAGGCGGAGGTTGCAGTGAGCTGAGATCGCACCATTGCACTCCAGCATAGGCAACAACAGCAAAACTCCATCTCAAAAAAAGACAGGACAGGACAGGACAGAACAAGACAAGACTAGACTTCTGGATATATGCCCAAAATCTTTAAAAGGAAGGTCTTGAAGAGATATTTGTATACTCATGTCCATAGCAGTATTATTTATTCACAGCAGCAAAACGGCAAATGCAACCCAAGTGACCATAAACTGATGAATGCATAAATGCGGTATATACATACAACTGAATATTATTCAGCCTTATAAATGGAGATTCTGATTCATTTCAATGTGGATGAACCTTGAGGACATTATGCTAGGTGAAATAAGCCAGTCACAAAATAACAAATATCTTATGATTCTATGTATATAAGGTACCTAAAATAGATTCATAGAGAAAGTACAATGATGACAGTAGTCAAATTCATAGAGATAGAAGTTGGCTTCCAGGGCCTATGGAAGGAAATTATTGTTTATATGGCACAGGAGTTTCAGTTTTGCAGGATAAAGAGAGTTCTGGAGACAGTGGTTATCACTGTACCACAATATTAATATACTTAATTTTGAACTGGAAACTTAAACATGATTAGGACGGTAAATTTTCTGTTAGATATATTTTACCCTAATTTTTTTTTAAAGGCAATAATGTAAAAAAATTACTTACACTTTACACTGGTACTCATGCTTATTGGAACTGAGCAGTCTATTGCAGCTGAAAGAGAAAAATTAGTAGTTTAATAATATTCTCAGTATTTATAAATGACAAATACCAAATGTGGAAATCACAAAATGTTTCAGACCTTGCAGTTGTTTTATTGTACTTCTAGTGATGGAAAATACAATATCCCTGATTAAAAATACACTGTTGAGATTAATGACTCATTCAATACTGCAGAAGAAAGTATTAATGAACTTGAAAATACAGCAATATAAACTATTCGAAATATAAAAGACTTAACATTCTTATGATGTAGTCTCAAAACAAGCTTGGGGGGAAAAAAAGCAAAATGGAAGCCTTACACTACTCGATTTCAAGACTTTGTGGTGTAACTGTACAATAATTAAAGCAGTATGGTACGGGCTTAAAGGTAGACATACAGATCAACAGAACGAAAGAGTTAAGTCCAGAAGCAGACCCACATATATGGTCAACAGACTTTCAAAAAGTACTAAACAATTAAATAGAGAAAAGATAACCTCTTCAACAAATGGTACTGGGAAATTTGGATATGAAGAGGCAAAAAACAAAACAAAACAAAAAACCCCCAAACCCTTATATCATACCACATACAAAAACTAACTCAAAATGGATTGCAAACTTAAATGTAACGGTTACAACTATTAAACTTTTAGAAGAAAACATGCTGAGAAAATCTTAGTGGCCTAAGGTTGGGCAAAGATTTCTTGAAAAGGTTATAAAAACAACTATAAAAAACTAAATTATTACATAATTTTCACATCACAAAATATTTTTTAGCCATTTAGTAATATCAACATCATAGAATATAAACTAAAATTTAAAAACTTTAGCTCTTCAAATGAGAAAATCGTAAAAATTTAAAAGACAGTAAAAAACTGGTGAAATTCAAATGAGGTCTGTAGTTAATGGGATTGCATCAATATTGATTTCCTGGTTTTAATAGCTATACTAGTGGTTTTAAAGATTTTTAACATTAGCGGAAGCAGGGTAAAGGGTATATGGTAACTGTCTACACCAATTATTTTTTGGAGATGGAGTCTTGTTCTGTTGCCAGGCTGGAGTGCAGTGGTGCAATCTTGGCTTGCTGCAACCTCCACCTCCTGGGTTCAAATGATTCCCCTGCCTCAGCCTCCGGATAGCTGGGACTACAGGCACACACCACCATCCCTGGGTAATTTTTTGTATTTTTAGTAGAGATAGGGTGTTTCACTATGTAGGCCAGAATGGTCTCGATCTCCTGACCTCATGATCCACCCGTCTCAGCCTCCCAAAGTGCTGGGATTACAAGTGTGAGCCACTATGTCTGGCCTCTCTATACCATTTTTATTTTTATGTTTTGTTTATTATTTATTTTTTACTTTTTTTGAGACAGAGTCTTACTCCCTCACCCAGGCCAGGAAGCAGTGGTGCAATCTCGGCTCAATGCATCCTCTGCCTCCTGGGTTCAAGCAATTCTCCTGCCTCAGCCTCCTGAGTAGCTGGGATTACAGGCAAGTGCCACCATGCCCAGCTAATTTTTTGTATTTTTAGTAGAGACAGGGTTTCTCCATGTTGGCCAGGATGGTCTCAATCTCTTCACCTTGTGATCCACCTGCCTTGGCCTCCCAAAGTGCTGGGATTACAGGCTTGAGCCACCACGCCTGGCCCAACTCTGCTTTTTAGTGTAAAAGCTGCCACAGACAACATGAACATGATTATGTTTGTCAATGGATAACTAAATTTGAATTTCATGTCACAAAATATTGTTTTTTCGATTTTTTGCTACCATTTAAAAATATGAACACTATTCTTAGTTCATGGTAGGAGGGTTTGGCCTGAAAGATGTAGTTATAGCTGATTCCTATTTTACAGCATAATTGTAGTAGTATTTATATAAATTATAAATACTGTTATAATTATATTTTTTCAAAATATTTACATTTTGTCAGCTTTATTGATATAAAACTTACATTACAAAATACAATATAATCAATGCATTTTATAATGTAAGTTTTATCCCAATAAAGCTGACAAAAGAAGGAAAAATTAAACAGAAAAACAGCATCTTCTTTGTGCAACTTCCATAGATGTTTAAACAAAAAGGCAGACTGTTTAAACAAAAAAAGCAGACTATAAATTTTTACATTAAAAGTAATATCTAGCTTTTACAGTGGCTCACGCCTATAATCCCAGCACTTTGGGAGGCTGAGATGGGCGGACCATGAGGTCTGGAGTTCAATTCCAGCGTGGCTAGCATGGGGAAACCCCGTCTCTACTAAAAAATACAAAAAATTAGCTGGGCATGGTGGCACGTGCCTATAATCCAGCTACTTGGGAGGCAGAGGCAGGAGAACAGTTTGAACCTGGGAGGCATAAGTTGCAGGGAGCCAAGATCACACTGCTGCACTCTAGCCTGGGCGACAGGTCAGGACTCTGTTTAAAAAAAAAAAAAAAAAAAAAGGCAATATCTAATAAAATATTATTAGCAATAGAGATAAAATGAAATATAAAATGAAATAAAATATAGATTTTATATAGATTTATATAGGCGTTATATAGATTTCAAATATAGTTAAGTAAATCTATATAAAATATAGATTTTATATAGATTTATACAGGCGTTATATAGATCTATACAGGCGTTATATAGATTTCAAATATAGCTTAAAAAATGGGTATGGGCTGTGGCTCTACAGAGTGCTGAGGAAGGTCGGGGCAGAACCCAGTACTTGGGGTTCCGCTCGGCTTGCTCTTGCCACCGAGATGCCTAAGAAGGCTGGTGCGACGACCAAGGGTAAAAGCCAGAGTAAAGAACCAGAGAGACCTCTTCCTCCCTTAGGTCCTGTGGCAGTTGATCCTAAAGGTTGTGTCACCATAGCCATCCATGCCAAACCTGGCTCCAAACAAAATGCTGTAACAGATTTGACAGCAGAAGCCGTAAATGTAGCTATTGCAGCACCGCCATCAGAGGGAGAGGCTAACGCCGAGCTCTGTCGGTATCTTTCCAAGGTCCTAGAACTCAGGAAGAGTGATACGGTTTTGGATAAGGGTGGGAAATCTCGTGAAAAGGTGGTGAAGCTTTTGGCCTCTACAACTCCAGAAGAGACCTTGGAGAAATTAAAAAAGGAAGCCAAAAAAACGTAAGAGCAAGAAATGAGGCCAGGTGTGGTGGCTCATGCCTGCAGTCCCAGCACTTTGGGAGGCTGAGCGGGCAGATCACCTGAGGTCAGGAGTTTAAGATCAGCCTGACCAACATGGTGAAACCCTGTCTCTACTAAAAACACAAAATTAGCTGTGTGTGATGGTGGATGCCTGTAATCCCAGCTACTCTCGAGACTGAGGCAGGAGAATCGCTTGAACCCAGGAGGCGGAGGTTGCAGTGAGCTGAGATCATGCCATTGCACTCCATCCTGGGCAACAAGAGTGAACTCCCTCTCAAAAAAAAAAAAAGAAATGAAAAATACATCCTTGAGAAACTTTTTTATTGCTAACGATGAAAAGGCTGTTAAACAGAAACATACTATATCCACAGAAGAGCATGCAGAGAGTAATATGTATATATTCAAACAAGACTTCAAAAAGCAGAAATTTTAAAAGTGCTATACATTGAATACAGGTTCTGAAATCCCTAACCCCAAACAGCCTGGAACATGTTACTCTGATTTCATGGCATTATAAAATAACAGAGCTGGAAAGAATATTCAAGATGACCTGATTCAACACCTTTCATTCTGTGGGCGGAGCTTCTGATACCCAGAAGTTGAGAGACTTACTCAAGATTGTACCATGCAAGCTGGCAACTAGAACTCAGATCTTTTGATTCCTTGTTGAATTAAGTTTTTCCAGATTGTAAATTAAAATCATCACATCTCCACAAAAAAAAAGGTATGAATTTGCTAAGTATAGTCAATAGTTTGTATCATATTAAATCTAACAAATACAAATCCTCTCACATATATAATGTATTCATTTTTGCTATAGATGTATTTTAATGAGTAGTGAAGCTGGAGGTTTAAATTGATTACAGAGAGTTCACATTTGCACATTTTTACCTTTGGCTGAAAGGATTTTATTATAGTGAACAGCCATGTGATTCTTGACCAGCTGGAGAGTGCTTAGTCTGAGAGAAGAGGAGTCAGTGCAAAAAGCTAAAAATTAAAACATACTCATTATATATTTAAAACTAATATAAAAATCATGAGATAAACAAGTTACTGATTAACTCATTCTTAAAATGTTCTGAAATTCAACAAGAGATATTAATATGACATTGTGATGTGAAGCTTTAACCTTGCACTGATAATGCTGATGAGCTATTGACCATTTGGGTTCAAACTTTCCTGAGAATACAATTTTACAAGCCTGAGAGTTTGGGGAAAAGATTCTAGAGTACAATCTATTATTACACCTATGAAATGACTTCTTTCTGACAGCTCTCAATCTTGTAACTAAGGGTGTTTAGCTGCTTGCTTAATTAGTTACCACTGTTAATACTTAAACAATCCATGGAGCTTCAGAAATTCAATGAATACCAAATCCCAAAACCCTATATACAAAAACTCCATTCTGATCAGCAAATTTCTAACTTAAACCTGAAAACAAGATCTACATATCAGTTTACTACACTCTTTTTGAAGTGCTAAAACCATCTTACAACAAGTGTAATCGCATAGAAATTCCGTAACATTAAACTCCTTGATCCTCATTCAAACTGTTTAAGAGAAATCTTATAAATAGTTAAGCACTTACACACAAGTATAAAATGAAAATGTAGGCAAAACTTTTTTAAACATTAAAACACAGTTTTGGAGAAGAATACATACAATGTGGCTAAAATAATTCAACAGCTAAAATGGCATATGGAGATTGAAAAATAAGTGACTTCTCTACCCTGACCTTTAGTCTCCCTTCCCAGAAATACACTGTTACTATTTAAATGCATCCTTCCAGGGAAACTCTGCATAATATAAGCCTATGCAATAATTATGAGCTTATGCTACTACTAAAAACATTTACTGAATGGATGCCATTTACCATGCATTGTTCTAAACTCTTTATACGTATAAACTTATCTAGTCATTATTATTATCATTTAATAGAAGTGAAAACTAAGTCAGAGATGGGTTACATCTTCCAGGTTACACTGCTGATAAAGGATGCAGATGCCATGTGACCCACAGAAGCAGCCTCATACTTACAACCACCATACCTATACCAGCTCTATACATATATTCTTTAAAAAAAAGTTAGCAAACTTTACATATTGTTTTTATCCTGATTTCTATGTATGTATATTTTAAATCTAGTTTCAACTTTTTATTTAAAATTTATTTTTTAAAGTTTATGATTATTCACATATATATGTATCACATTGTAATATAAAGAAATAAATGAGGCAACTGAAAATGAGATCCTTCCATCACATTTGGAAGTTAACAGTATCAAAGATTTTTCATGTAAATAAAAATAAGGCTTTCAATTATTTTGCCTAAAGACATAGACTTATACTTCTACGCTATAATTACCAAAAATCTATTTTAAAACTTACCTTAAAATTTTATCTTGAAAGCTTTAAAATACAAAAATATCACGGCACCTAGAAATCCAGCTGGATAAAGAGGCCCATAGGCCTTTGCTCCTATGATATGAAATGTATTATTCAAGTGCTCTTGTTCTCTGCACAGCTTTTCCTTTTCAGTGCTTGTGTCTTTAAAACCTGCTATTGACCATTTTAACAAGGCAAGCATGCCTTAAGTCAGGGTAGTTTCCTGGCATAAGTAGAGCTGGGCTGCTGCAGCAGCTGGGAGCAGGAGACAGCCAAGACCACATCCAGGGCACAATAATAGTTTGAAATCACAGACTCCAAAATACTCTAATCTCAAGAACTCCTATATTTCACTCAAATTAATAATACGAAGTTCAAATATTTGTCAAATGAAATAATTTTTCTACCATGTCATATAATTTGCAAGCAAAAGAAACACTCAGACAATCTTTTAACAAAGCTACCATTTTAAGTACCTCACTTACCATTACTTTTGGTGCTCAAGTGTCCTTTAAATAGGCATGGTGGACCATATCTGGGAAGGACAGATGTTGCTCTGACTTTTAACAACAACAACAACAACAAAATCATAAATTAGGATAAATGAAACACAACTTTTACAAAAAACAACAACATTCAATTTTTTTAAAATAATATATTTATCACAAAATGATTTCTCTCCCCAAAAAGTAACTGTGCTTTTAGTGGTAATCTCCATAAAAGGACATCTGAGTTATAGTATAAATGTAATTTAATATGCAAAATATAAATGCTATATCCCCCAAACAGATGTTTTAAGAGGGTAAGATGGCTAGTTTGCTATCAGATGGGCTGTTAAAAGCTGTAACAGGGAGGACACATACGAAGTCTAAAAGATACATGGATGACTAAATTAAATACAGAAAAATAGGTATCGAGATAGGAGAACTAAAATCTAGGACAAGATAACAGAACTTATCAGAATAGATTAAAACAGAAAAACAAACTGAGGTCAGAATATCTAATAAGTTCTATGTCACAGGTCAGAGAGCAGAAAGGAAACAACATATTTAGGACAATACAAGTCAGAGTGATGCCATCTGAGCTGGGAATAAAGATAGTAATGAAATGAGTAGAGCTTCTACGAAGAAAGGAGAGTAAGACCTAAACATAAGAAAAACTCTCAGGAAACCTCATTTCTCCAGATAGAAAGAACTGTGACTTTTTTCTTATCTGGAATTCAATGCCTCTTCACCTGGAAACAAACCTCAACTTTTCTTTGGGTAACTGCTGTTCCCTTACTCTTAGCCCAGGTGGTTCAAATAGAGCTGACCCCACTTTCAGTGTTAGGCATAAAACCTCAATCTGGACAGCTGTGTTGACAGCGTCAGCAATGCTATATGATCCAAGTCCTGCCATGAGATACACAATCCTGGGCCTTTGACTGGAACTATTAGGAAAGGTACTTTCATTTCACTGAGCTTGCTAAACCCAGTGAAGGATCTGGGTTTGTCAAGCTTGCTGGTGGCACCATATAAAGGAACCTGTCTGAGAATGAAGCCTACAGAGTCAAGGGGAACCAAGATAGAAAGGAATTCCTTGGTAATATCATCTGAGTACCTGAAGCCAACCATGTTTGATACTTTACCTTCCCTAGACTTTTCTTTACATTGGCCAAAAAATAAGAAATAAAAAAATAAAAAATAAAGAATCCCAGTTTAGCTTAAACCAGTAAGAATTGGATTTCTTCATTTATAGTCAAAATGCTAATTTGTTGAATTGTAACTGTGCCAGGCAGTGTACCAAGCAAAATAAATTCATGTAATCCTTACAACAATACTACAATTCTCCCTACTTTATAGATGAGGGTAATCAAAGCACAGAAGTTAAACTTGTAATTTGCCCAAGATTACACAAGAATGTGACAGATTTGGGATCTGAACCCAAGCAGTCTGGTTTCTGGGTCTTAATCATTACACTATCTTGACCCACATAAACTGCTCAGTACTTGAAGCACGCTCTAAGCTAGTAAATCATGTGAAACAGACTAAGAAGATATCTCAACTGTGTGTAGTACATTCACTCCAAATTCTATTCTGTTGTATGTATGTTTCACTATAGGTCACAGAAAGAGGAAAAACAGATACACCCAGAGAAGCTGGAGAGAATGAAAAGAGAACGAAAAAATGTTGGACCTTTTCCGATAGAAATGCTTCCCCATCCATCTGTAGGTGACAGCTGTGAACAAGGTAGTTAAGATTTGGCCCCAGGAATCAATCCAGCTTCTCTTTAGCATAAGATGGTGGTAAGAACAAACACGGAATTTAGATGTCCCCTTGTCTATTTACCATCAGATATCAGAAGCACACCAAGGCATATACTTATTGGTTTCTAATATTCCTATAGAAAAATGCGATATTAAAAGTGAGAGAATTAAGGCCGGGCACAATGGCTCAATATGCTTTAGCAATCCCAGCACTTGGGGAGACTGAGACAGGTGGATCACTAAAGCCCAGGAATTTGAGACCAGCCTGGACAACATGACAAAACTAAAAAATACAAAAATTAGCTGGGCATGGTGGTGCACACCTGTAGTCCCAGCTACACCGGAGGCTGAGGTGGGAGGATGATTGGGCCCAGGAGATTACACTGCACTCCAGCCTAGGTAATTAAAGGAGACCTTGTCTCAAAACAAAACAAAACACCAAAATAAAACAAAAACCAGAACTGAAGGGAGAAACAGACAATTTAATTCATCTATCCTCTCACAGTTTCTCCTTCCTGCTTTGTGTCCTGTGTATAGGTAACATTTTTCTGTTTTTTTTTTTCTTTGCACAACTTGCAATTTCTTTTTGTTGAAAAGTTATTTTAAGTAATACACTGTAGCAACTCTAGATACAGAATCCTCTCCTAAGCTTGTTTTCATTGTTGTTCACTTGGTGTTTAGTGACTTGGCTAAGCAATTTATCCAAGTCTATTTCCCATGGAATGTGAAGCTTCTGGTGTCACTAATCAGTGATGAAGCTTTGGGCACGTGCACAATCACACCTTCTCTAATGAGGTCTGAACCCGTCTTTGGGAGAAAGTCTCTTTCAAAATGTCCTTTCTTGAGTTCTTTCCCTTAATTCTAGGTACCAAATATAGTTTTCTTATATCTTTTTATTTTAATTAATTCACTAATTTTTTTTTAAATACTAGAGACAGGGTCTTACTATGTTTCTCAGGCTGGTTATAAACTCTTGGCCTCAAGTGATGCTCCTACCTCAGCCTCCCAAATGCTGAGATTACAGGCATGAGCTGACACACCCAATCTCTTAGATCATATAGTTATTCTTTTATGAAAGTATAACAATTCTTTAACTTTTCCTTGTATAAATCACTGTATCATTTCTATCTCCTGATTGGACCCTGAATGATCCAAAGGGGCATGGAGAAGTAGCCTCAAACCAAATGCCAAGGAAAAGATCATTCTCTGTTAGAACTAAAATCCTGTCAGTGAGATTGAAGGTCTTAGTAGTGAGATTCATTGGTATATGAGAGCAGCCCAGTTTCCTACACAATTTGATTAAAACAGCCAGAATAAAGTTCAGTGAGGAAAGATGATGGTGTTTCTTGTGGCAGGGTTTCTCTGGAAAACCAAAGGTTTGGGAATCTACCATTTTTAAGTGTCTCTATGGGACCAATAGATGAAAAAAATATATATATATATTTTGAGATGAATTCTTGCTCTGTTGCCCAGGCTGAAGTGCAGTGGCACGATCTCGGCTCACTGCAGACTCCCAGGTTCAAGTGATTCTCCTGCCTTTGCCTCCCGAGTAGCTGGGACTACAGATGCGCACCAGCATGCCCGGCTAATTTTTTTTTTTTTTGGCAGAGACAGGGTTTAACCATGTTGCCCAGGCTGGTCTCAAACTCCTGACCTCAAGTGATCCACCTGCCTCTGCCTCCCAGAGTACTGGGCAAAAAATTTTTTCAAGTTACTTGTAGTTATTTATACTAATAGGTTGCCTCCTCTCCTCCCCAAAGGTCATTGATATTACAGTGAATGGCAGTTTGTTATTCCCAATTTTTTCTTCACCTTCCCCATGGGAAGCTGGAAACAACGTCTTATATATTACCTAGTCCAAGCCACCATTTTATAAATAACTGAGGCCCAGGGACATAGAGTGACTTGCTGAAGATTACCAAGTTAGTTAATAGTAAACAAAGATTACAAACAAGACTAACCATTTTTCAGTCTGGTGCTCTATTTACCACCATTCAGAAGGTCTGCCTTACCAAAGAATGTCTAAAATGTGATTACAGTAAGAACATGACAAAAGATAATTTTCTTTAGATGTTTTAATATTTTATGCTCTGAAATAACTAAAACTCACCTCCTAATGAAATCTAAGAAACTTATTTTCAATTAAGTATTTTAGATTTGGCTAAAATTATTTACAGATTCCTATTAATAATAATTTACAGTATATGAAAGCTGTCAGTTATTTGCTGATTGATTTTAAAAATTCAAAATCAATATTTCATATTATCATCTGTTATATCCTAAAATTGAAGCTAATTAAATTGTGCAAGTTGTAAAAATATCAATGTTTTTGCATTTGGCATGAACCCAATTTTTAAAATAATTCAATAAACAAATACTGACAACTTACTGAATCTATTATACTCTAAATTTTACATATATCCTCTCCTCCTGTCACACCCCTACCACGGGCTAGTAAATAAAAGCATTGGCTTCAGATTTTATATTATTCGCCTAGATTCAAAGCCTGTTCTGCCTCTTACTATGACCTTGGCAAGTTACTTGTGATCTTTTGCTTTAGTTTCTTCACTATGACATAAGGCTAATGCCTATCTAACAAGCTATTTTTGTATATTGAGAGAATTGGGAAATAGGTCCTTGCACATAGCAAGGGTTTAATGTTAGTTTATGTGCAAAATTCCTTAAGATCATAAAGCGTTTTGATTTGCTTTTTCTGAAACCTAGGTTGGTAAAGTGTCAGAATATAGTTTCCTGATCAATGAATAGTATTCTTCTACATTCAGAGTAGCACTTATTTTGATCAACCACTACATGATAAAGGCAGACTCATTCAAAGGAAGACTTCAAGAAATCATCTAGCAGCTTCGTTTTAAAGCAGTCTTTTAAATAGATAAGGACACTGAATTGGGAGGTGTGGGAGCCTAAAGATTGCCTTATTTGACGAGGAAAGAATGCTACTGGCTCAGAAGGTGTGAAATGCCAATTATTTTGTTTGGGCCGATTTGTAGAGGTTTAAGGTTATATTTCTCCGCCCCCAATCCCACCTCATTATGTCCACCTGACTCAAGAAATCAGTGGAGAACAGGTGTATATGGTGATTACGGATTGCTGCTAAACTGCATTCCGCTGACCAGCAACACTGCATTACTTGGAAATTTATTATAAATGCAAAAATCTCAGCCACCCCCAAGGGACCTATTGAATAATAATCTGCATTTTAACATGATTCTGAGGGGATTCCTATTCACATAAAGTTACAGAAGCCCAGGGTTAGTCAATAGCTTTGGGGAACGTAATTAGTTACTGAATGGGAGGTTTCCCATTTACTAAGCACTTAAAATGTGCCCGGATCTTCTCTTTATTATCTGCATTTAATCCTCAAGAACTCCACGGCCTGGGTATTCGACCCTCACGTTCAAGAAATGAGAAAACTGAGAACGTCTCCATGGAGGGCAGAGGGGTTTGAATTGGGGCCCGGAGAGGGTCTGACTCCAAAGGCCAAACCTGGTTCCTCTGCCTGGGAGCTACTGAGGATTTAAAGGCTGCAAGACCCTGATTTCAGGAGACAGGGTCGCCTGGTGTCCGGGCGACTAATTCAGGGCAAAGAAGCGGACCTGAGAGCCTCGCAAGCAGGCCCTCCCTCTTCCTTTGCGCGGGCCCGGGAAGCTCGGGGTAACCTGGCGACTCAGCCAGGGACAGGGAGCGCCCAAGGGGCGACCTGGCCTCGGCTGCCCGGCCCAGAGGCTGGGAGCGCCGGCTGGAGCGAGGGGCGAGGCAGCGGTCGCCCGTGACAGCTACCCTTTACCTCTCCGGCTGCCATCCATGCTTAGTCCTCTTGCAGCCGCCGTGGGGACACGTTGGATTCCCTCCGGTCCTTCCCACGGCCCGCCCAGCCCTGGCAGTGGAGGAGTGGAAAGGAGGAGCCGGCGGGGGTTGCAGCAGCCGAGAAAGCGTTGCCGGGCTGGTTGCTAAGGGCCGGGTACAGGGCGCCGCGATTGTGACGTCACGGCGCCGGGGACGTGAGTCTTGCAGCCCCGCCCCCAGGGTACCCGGTAGTGGGAGGGAGCTGCTGACGGAGGGATCTGGCGGAGAAGGTACATCAATCCCCAGTCTGTTGCTCTGGCATCCTGCCAGTCTTTCGCAGAGCGACCTCCTGTCAGGATCCAAGTCACCAGCACCTGGTAGGCTCTGTCCCTGTGGGAAGAGCAGGGAGAGGAGGTGGACTCATCTGGCATCCACGTCCCCTGGGTCCCGGAAAAAAGTCAAGCACAAATGTTAGCTGAGGTCAGGGTAACATTTAACCAGTTCCAAATAATTACATTTCAAAACAGACCGTGAACTTTTGGATTAGTGAAAATCCTAGGGGTGAAAAGCATCTACATATTCACATCTTAATTCTTAACCTTAATAATAAATTTGAATTTCCTTTCTGCTCACCAAGTTTCCCCTCTCCTGTCCCTGCCTCCCTTTTATCTTAAGTTTCAATCCATTTTTCTTTATAATGGAAGAGAGCTGCAACATGAATAAGGGGTTGATTTATTTATGGCTTTCTATAATTTGTTTAATTTTGAAGCAGTTATCTTTGAAACCTTGGAAATAACATCAGAACAGGGGTAGGAAGCATTCTGTCATGTTAAGACTTCTCAGTAGCTCCATTGACATTTTGGGCGGGTTGTATAATTCTTTGTTGTGGGGGTGCTGTCCCTGTGAACTGTTTTGTAGCATCGCTAGCCTCTGCTCACTAGAAGCCAGTAGCTTCTCATAAACAGACCCCATCCACTCCACCTCCAGTCCTGACAATCATAAATGTCTCCAGACCTTGTGAAATATTCCCCAGGGAGCAAAATTGCAACTCTGTTGAGAACCACTGCTGAAATGAAAAGAGTCCTGTTTTGGAGCCAGATATGTAGAATTTAATTGTGAATTTTCTGCTACTTACCAGCTTGGTCTTGAATTAGTTTCTAAAACATTCTGAGCCTCAGTTTTCTCTTTTCTAATGTAAATTGTGGAAGTTGTCAGAATCAAAATAGAGTCACATGTATTAAGAAAACCTGACAAGTGGAGCTGGGGAAGACCATGAAGGAGGGTTCTCATACATGAATGTCTGATAATAAAAACTATCACAAAATACTGCAAAAACCACAACCTCATAGAAGTATCTTTTTGGGTAAGATGGCTTACCTTTGAGAAGGCTTCTCCACCTTATCCAAAAAGATAGTTCTATGAGGACATCCACCCAGCAATTATCTGTCCAACCTTGAACTGATGTCACCCTTGTTATTGATGCTTGTAGCCAAGGTAATTACCTCAAAACAATTATGTAATCCTCTGCTTTTTAAAATCGTTTTTAAAAACATTGTTTTCTTTTGATTCCTTGAGTATGCAAACAGTTTGCCATGGCACACATATTCCCATTGCAATACCCATTCCTGAGTAAATGTCATTTTCTTCTGGAGAGTTGAGGACTAAGCTCTGATTTTTTTTTTTTTTTTATCTTGCTCAAATTCCTATCTAAGGGGTCTAGGGAGTCATACCCTACAAACCATAAATTATCATCGGATGGGTTTTATTTGACCCTATATATCATGACTTACTTTCCAATCTGATTCTGGCATGACATTTTAAGACAAGGGAAAAAAATCAAAATATTTAACCCCAAAATATATTTCCTTGCTATACCTTGAAATTGCCCTGCAAAGTCTCATGTGGGAAAAATCCACATTCTACAGAGAATCCTTTTTCCCCATTGTTTTCCTTCCTTCCTTTCCAGATCCAGGAGATAATCAACTAAGAGCCAGGCACCCTTTTAGGTGTGACAAGAAACATTTAACCTGCTCTCTCTTTGAAGTCTGCTATCTGAGAGCTTCCTCTTCACAATAGAACTTGGATTCCACAGTCCTTTATCTTAACCTCAACATTTCCTTTCTTTTTTTTTTTTTTTTTTTTTTTTTTTTGAGACGGAGTTTCGCCCTTGTTACCCAGGCTGGAGTGCAATGGCGCGATCTCGGCTCACCGCAACCTCCGCCTCCT